AAGGTCATCCAGCGAGTGAATCGTATAAATAACCATCTGGCCCCAGCTGCCTCTTCCCCATCATCATCCAGGACAAATCCCTCACAAAGCAAGTTACAGTAGTCCCACTGGGATGGGCTCAGCAGAGGGACAACTTGACCGAATCACACCACTCCAGGCAAGGCTTTGGCTGGCAGGTCTGTGGCTGATGACAGGGGGGGGGGGGGCACTGAGTGCCTCGGAGAAGGTCCGTGCCACCAGTTGTATGTGAGAAGCACATCCAAGCTGCCTGCCTGCGGCTTGAGAAGCAGTGCGACCCCAGCCGAAACAGTCTGGCTCCTCAGCACGGTTCCCTCTATGCTGAGTTAGTGTGAGCTAGCTCACCGTTTTTTAGCCTCCAGCTCACACAGAATGGCTCCAGAGCAACCCAATTTATGCAGCAGCCAAACTGCTCGCTCACAACTTTAATGCCAGTGGCTCACAAAGTAGCATTTTTGCTCACAAGACTCCACAGCTTAGAGGGAGCATTGCTCCTCAGCCCCAGTTGGCTCTAGAATCGACAAAAGAACCTCTGTCTTATCTGGGTTGAGCTTCAGTTTATTGGCCTTCCACCAGCATCAAGATTTTCTCTACTTCTCCTAAATTAGGTTAGGAAAAGTAGAACTGGGTCTCTTCTGTGTGATCTCACCCAGCAGCGTCAAAGAGCTATTAAAGAGCATGAGGAGTAGACCAGAACCCTGCAAGGTTGAGCAGTTGCCCCCCCCCCCGTGCCCCTTTCTGCTATCAGCCAGCCAAACAAGATCAGAGCCTCTAGAAAGCACTGCGCCTGCATTCAGTCAGGCCAAAAGGCCTCTCTCTTTCCAGCTATTCCTGGCATTCGCCCGCCCAATCTCTTCTGCTTTGCTCAGATCTTTCCTTGTCCGAAAGTCAAATCCCACTCCCTCAGCCTCCATCTCGGGCCTTCCCGACCAAGTGCAGAGTTCTCTCTTTAACCATGTTCTGAACTAAGCTGTCAGAAACACCTACTGGTCCAATCGTTATGGTTAGAGTCAAACTGATATTGCCAATGGATGCTGAACCATCCTTGGGGGTGATGTGTGAGGGCCAGCTCTTGCACTTTCAAAATCATGTTGGGAAAAGGAATTGGCGTTGTTAATCTGGCTGACTCTCCCTAGACCTTTGAAGGAAGCAGTTATTAGACCTTTGCTTTACAAACCCCTCACAGGCTAAAGAGAAGGTGGCTAATCAGACGTCCTTCTTCCCAGGCTGGTGAGAGCAGGGTCGGCCACTGTTAGTCCCTGGAGACCACCAAGGAGGACTGGGATTGCTATGGAGAGGAAGGCAATGGCAAACCACCTGCTGTGCATTTCCTGCCTGGAAGGCCCTGTGGGTGGGGTCGCGGATAGAGGAGACTTGGTGGAATCTTCTTCTCCAGTTTACCTCTGCCGGGAAGGGGGTAGAGCATATGGTGGCAGAGCCGCTCCAGGGGTTGCCAGATGGCACATCTGCCCTCGACTCACTTCAGTCTGGCTTCAGAACAGAGACTGCACTGGTGGATGACCTTCACTTATGCCAGACAGGAACAGCCGCCCCTGCAGAGACTGTCATGTCTACTAGCAGCCTTTGACACAGCTGACCACTCCATTCTTACAGCTCTTTGGTAATCTCAATCTTTTCTGTCCGACTGGACACCAAAAGTTTCCAAGGGAGGAGCAGAAGCTGCTGGGTGGGGTTGGTCCTGCGGAGTGCCCCAGGGTTCTGTTCACTCATCCATGCTCTTTAATCTCTGTCCGAGGCATGCAGATGACACACAGTCCCTCCTGCGAGAGCCGCCACGTTTATCTTTACTTTTGCTCCCTGCCTTACAAGGATCCAGGGAGTTCTGATCCGTGTCAGTACCTGATGCAAACATTCTCAGAGCAAGAGTAGCCCCAGGAGCCTTTGCCTCAGCAGGCCTCGGAGACACTCGGCATCTTGTTTTGCACCAAGTACAGCCTGCAGGAAGCTCGTCCGTCACATCCAGAGTTTTATCAGCACGCTGCCCAGCAGAAAGTTTCCTGGGAAACTTGAATCCCTGCCCCTTATGTGGCCATTTTTGGTCATCCCTGGGGGTGATAGCACTATGTCGTCTCAATGGCCATTCTGCCTCTGTTCTGTGGCTTCGATCTCTACCTGTTTGGTCTGTGACCAGCTTACCTGTCCAGCCGTCTGAGAGAAATCTTGCTTGTCCTTGTGAGAAGAGCTCTTTACCAAGAGAGTTGGGTCAGTCACTCGGAGGGTGTGCAGGTGCGAGACAAAAGGTGAAATTGGCTGGGAGAAAGGCAGGAGCAGACCACGCTTACATGGCTGAAGACATTAATCATGGGCTAGAAATGGCAAGTGAGCTCAGCTGCTACATGAAAGAGCAAGCCCAGAGAGAAGAGGCAGCCAGCTTTTCTAAGAAATCTCAATCCAATGACCTTAAAAATACCCAGCTGCTGGGTCTTGTCCTCCTACAGGAATTTCTCTCCAGACCTCACCCCATATCTAAAGGAGGTAACTCCCAAACCCAATGACTGTTTGTGTGCAAAGACTTCCATTTTTTTTGGGGGGGGGGGGGAACAGCCCGGGCCTTTGCTCTGCCTCCAGCCTTCCCCTTTCGTCCTTCTCATGCCTTTTACCTTTAAATGACAGGTATGCTATGCGTGGCCCCTCCTAACGGTTGCCCCCACCCTCTTTTTTCCTGCAAGTAAACCTCGAGATTTTGTTCCATTTGTCTGAAGAAGTGTGCTTTGCACACGGAAGCTTACACTTTGACTAAACCTTTGTTGGTCTTAAAGGTGCCGCTGGGTGCAAACTTTGTTCTGATTACCCTTATAATCCTACCCAACTGTCCACTTTTGAGTCTGTGCCTTGGGGGTGTCCCATGCTTCTTAGGTCTGCCCCAGTATATACAGGGCTCTTGTTTTGCTCCTCATAGGGTGTTAGGATTAGGATGTGCAGAAGCAAACAGACTCTTGGTTGGGTGGAGGCAGGTGGAGGGAGCTTAGGTGAAAGAATACCTACGCAACTCACAAGTTGTGACAGCATGGAGGGGTCAGATTTTGGATCAAAGTAGACAACGGGCAGAGGAAGATGTGCAAAAGAAGAGCTTTGAACCCCTTGCTCAGTCCCTCTCTTCCTCCACAAGTGCAGGCAGTCCAAAGGAAACAGGCAATTCCTTGTAAGCCCTCCCAGGTTTTGTCAGTGATCCCAAAGCTAGCCCCTGCTGTGCAGAGGGCTAAGAGATACTTGTGGAACTTACTTAAGGCAAATGTGTCTGTGCATTATTTTTATAGACAAAGAGACGGTTAAAGAGAACAGCTTTCAGGAGCTCTGTGGAAGTGCTGGGGACTCCACAAGGTGGTTAAAATGTAGTGTTAACAACCATGTTTCTCTTTATTATGCTTTCCTTATAGATGAAAAGTTACTTGCTTACTGCAACTAGAAAAGTGAAGATTCCGTATATTGATTTTGAAAAGCAAGAAACTGACATCTTCACCATTTGCTGGTGACTTCATGCTCTGTCCCGCAGGACCAACAACCTCAGTTGCATTCTGAAGATCACTTTTACTTTAAGCTAGTGGCAGGTTTCAAGCAACTGAAAAGTTAAGAGTGAACAGGAAAGGGAGAAATTTTAGAACTCGATGACAGCAGGCTTTTCTGAACATTCTCTCTACAGTTTTCCAGTAGCCATATTGGTTTATTTCTTACAGACATGCCTCAATTCCATCAGGTTTTCTGAGAGAGAATGCTGTTGTCACCAACAGTGGCATAACACCTCCCTTTTCTTTCTTCTTTTAATGCGCATGTGCTGCATCGATATATTGACCTACCACTAGAAGAGGCGTGAGGCATGCATGAGAATTGCCATATTGTTGCGCTGGAGAAATGCCCTTCATTCTAAGGTTCATCCCAGTGTCTGGCAACTTGGGGCTGCACACTGATTTTTAGAAGAAGAGATTGGATATATACCCCGCCCTTCACTCAGAGTCTCAGAGCAGCTTACAAACCCCTTCCCCTCCCCACAACAGACACCCTGTCAGGTAGGCGGGGCTGAGAGAGCTCTGAGAGAACTATGGCTGGGCCAGGGGCATGCAGCAGCTGCAAGAGGAGGAGTGGGGAATCAAACCCAGTTCTCCCAGATCAGAGTCTGCACATTTAACCGCTACACCAAACTGTCACCTGGTTTTCCTGTTGACAGACAACAGGCTAAGGGAGAGGAGTTAATTGCTTTCAAGCTGCCAGTACTTAACGTTTAGTCATGTAACCGAACAGTGAAGCAGGCCCTTTGGGGCCGCTCTGTGGCAGTCCCCACTATAATCAAAGGTGATAACAAATACCACCCCAACCCATAACATATCAAGAGTTCCACATACAAAAAACATAATTAACAGATGTGTGTCAAAGACACGGGCACACCTGATGGTGATACCTTTATCAGAGTGATTTTTAAAAAATTAAAAATCAAAGACTTGCCTCCACAAGGAAAACATTCCTTCTTTCCACGGGGAAAGGGAGTAGGGCCAGGGCCCATCACAAGAGCCAAGCGCAGAGGCCAAGAGTGAAGGCTGTGTGGTCAGAGAGAGCAGCGAGCGCTCCTGTGCCGGCGAAAAGGGCAAGGAAACAACTGTTTTGGGGGGGGGGCAGAGAAAGAAAAGGTACCAATTTCTGTACACTGAAAGAGCAATATATCGCTACTGGCTTTCCGTTTAGACCCTGGGTCTAGTCCACGAAGGCTGCCACAATGGAGGGGGTTAGCTGTAACTTGAAATGGAGTTCAGAGAAAAGTGGAGCAGAATCCCCCTCCCCTCCCCTCCCCGCGGGGATCCATTGCCCTGGCTTCTTTTGCCCACCTCCTAGCCTTGGTTGGGCTCGCAGTGAGGCAGGCTGGGACGAAAGTGCAGGGTTCAGATCCCTTTCACAATTCTGTTGAGACACACCTGAGAGCAAACGTGGCTGTCAAAAACAGAAATTTTCCAAGCAGGTGATTTTGATGCTATTTTAATTTATGAAATGTAAACAGAAAAACCACAGGAAAAATACTTTTAAGATCAAAAGGGTTGCCCTCCAAAGCCTTTGGGAGTTGCCCATAAATAGACGTATGTTCACAGCACAAAAGCTGTTTTTAATGAGCCGTCTGATCACCTTTTAAGCATAAGCCCTGAAATGAGACACGGACCTTCCGGCCCCCCACAACTGCGTCAGGGTCCTTCCTAATGGATTTCCGTGGTTTCCAACACCTCCTCCACAGCACGAGGAGTCTGTGATGTCCGAGACAGGGCTGCATCCTTGCTCCGTCCAACCAATCCATTCTGTTCTGCTGACTGATGGTCAAAACCACAACAGGAGCTGGATTCCTCCTGCCCGCCTGGAAAGAGCCCCTCCATATCTTGAGGAGTGTCCCCAGTCTCCAGTCTTCCTGCTGAAACAGCCCGCGCATGGTGTCCGAACATATTTTGGACGATATAGCGGATGCACTGCAAAATCACGTTCCTTTCATGCCGAATGTCCTTGGCAAGCAGCTAAAAGGAAAAGCGCACATTCCTGTCAATCGTTAGGAGCATAAACTGACCTGCATATGAAGCTGAATCACAAACAAGTTTCCAAAAGCCCCCCCCCCGCAAGACGCAAGGGCCTAACAGAAATCCCTGCTGGCCATTAGATGATGGATGATGACCGTGTGTGTGACGGATTCTTCTATTGGGCCCCACCTGTCCCGTCTGGGCCGGGCAGAGCTAGACTCGCCTCCGAGATCATTTATTTACATCATTTATACTCGGCCTTTCTCCCCAACGGAGACCCAAGATGGCTGACATAATTTTCCTCTTGCCCTTCATTTTATCTTCACAACAACCCCGTGAGGTAGGGTAGGCTGAGTGTGACTGGCCCAAGGCCACCCACAGCCAGCTTCCATGGATTTGCCTCGGTTAAGCCTGTGGAAGAGCAGGACATGTTTAAGCCACAGAGGAAGCCAGCTCTGTTTTCCTCTTAAGCCAGAGGTCCTTTGGTGGGAACACCAACCCATAACCATGTGTAAAAGATATGGGGACCACAGGAACATCGTTACAACAGTTACACACAATTTCTAACAAAGTCTGAAAGTCAGAAAAGGCAGTTTACCATTTCTAGCAGTGTTGGACGGCGTTTTGGCAACTCCCAAAGCGTCTTCCTCCGTCGGCTGGGTCCTCTGGTGTGTTCCGTGCGTGGATTTGATTCCCCCAACTTTTCCACTCCACGGGGAGGGGCTTCTTGACGGCCTGTGTCTTCATAGGTATGGGGGACATTGGAAGGCTGATGGATACTTCTGAGAACAGCCTGATTTTCAGCAAGTACTTTTGCTGCAGTCTGGATGGGCTCTTCTATTTAAAAGTTCAAAAAAACGTAACTGGTAAAATAACTAGGGCTGAAAGAATTCATCAAATTAATTTTCACTTTAAGAGTGATAACTGTCACCGCCAAGGGGGGGGGGGAGGTGCCAGTTTCGGCCAATGGACCACCTGTAAGCTTACAACTAGGATTTAGGGTCAGACCTGTGTAAATTAAGCAGATTGCATCAGTGGAAAACCAATGCCACACTCCAGCAATTATCCAGCTTTCCCCCTTTTTCTAGTCAATACCAAGGAAGGCCTGGGAAGCTACTGGTACCGACCAGCACCCTAACCCACGCACGTTTCCCCCAGAAAAGCGCTGACCCCAATGGGCAATTTTCACGGGCGACAAGCAGTTACAGCCCAACTCACCACCTTCCTCACTCTCGCTTTCCGACATGCTGCCGTAACTGGCCACCAGGGAGCTCAACGCAGAGGTTATCTGCTTGGGAATGACAGTCACGCCTGCGGAGGCGTCTTCTGCAGCTCCTGCTTCTTTGTCTGAATCTGAAGGGAGACGAAACCCCCAGGATTAGCCAAGGAGCAAGACATGCAAGAAAAGCCTGTGAAGCACCAGCATGACTTATTGGGGCCTCCCTCCCATGGGAGCCCCTTCTGACCCTCAAGGAAACTGATGCCGAGGATGGGGGGGGGGGGGGGGAGCAATTCATACAACCATCAGCATGCAGCAGCTAAGCATGCTGTTCTCAAAAAGAAGCATTTAACACGGATGTGCCAGGAACTCCTGATGAGCTGAAAAATAGTAGCTTTGGCTTATACCTCAAGAACGTCCTAACCATGGAGTGAAAAAAAAACCCCCTCAAAACCCCCAGCTTGACTTTTGTTTTGGGATTAGCATTTCGTTCTAATGTCAAGCACTACCATGTGACAGCACTCCCAGTTTAAAAATCCATTGCTTTTTTAACAGGAAGCTGGTCTGACGGCCTCTTTCAAGTTCCTTGTTTATAAGCATGGGGAGGCCCCCTTTTCCAACCACCAAATAGGCCTCTGCAAAGGTAAAGCGGTGAGACGAACCAAGAGGTTGTGACCCTCAGAGGAAAGGCCTCCTGGAGCATCTCCCAAGGGGCCCTTGAGAGGCTGGCTGGCTGGCCTTCCAAAATCACTGCCGGCACCCTGAAGCTGAAAAGAGCCGGGTGCTGGAGGGTGCTGGACTTTGGGGACTTCACCCCAGAAGATGCCCTCCCAAGATGCTGGGCAGTGGAAGGAGAGAGCTGGCACACACCCCCATTGCCAGGGCAACAGAAGTGCTGGACCCCACAGGAGGAGGGGCCGAGAGGGCTGCCAGGGGGCACTTTGAGCCCAGCCGGGGAATGGAGGGACTCCTCCTCCACTGCTCTGGGAAGCACTGAGGATGGAGAGAAAGGGGGGGGGGCTTGCAGATGGAGACATGCCCTGGAGCAGAGTGTGGTGGAATGGGGGGGGGACATCCTGTGCCCCCCCCACTGATTTATAAGACGGGATTGGCCCGTAAAACAAGGAAGTTGACAGGACAGAGAGCGGCGGTGCCTTGTTTTGAGCTCTCTCACTCCTCCTCTCTCACACGCGCGCACAGAGACATCCACACCCTCCCAGGCTCCACATCTCACCTGCTCCTGCCCCCCACCCCTACGCGCCACTTCCACTTTCCTGGGGGGTGCTGGCAGCCCATATGACCTCCATGTCCCCTTGACCCTCCTGCCAGCAGCGCCAGGTCAACCAAGTGGGCGGGAAGACCCTATGGAGTCCAACTAGCAGAGCTGGTTTTCACACCCCACTTTTCTCTATCTCAGCATGGCTTACAACCACCGGTCCCTTCCTCTCCGCACAACAGGCAGGTGGGGCTGAGGGAGTCCAGAGAGAACCGTGACTGGCCTAAGGTCACCCAGCAGGCTCCATGTGAAGGAGGAAAGGGGGATCCAAACCCGGCTCTCCAGACCAGAGTCCACTGGCCTTAGCCACGACCACCACGCTGGCGCTCTCTACAGTCAGCTCCCCAAAGGCTCCCATCCTGGCAGAGAAGACCCAGGTCGCCCCACATGCCCGGGCCCCAGGCCTGGCGAAGCCTCTGGCTGATCACAGAGCCAAGCAGGTCCTTCCGGCCGGCCTGCTCTCCGCCACCAGGAGGGGGAGGGGCCCCTGCCACCACCAGTGAAGCAGCTGCTGAAACAAAGCACAGCGCAACGTGGGTGTGTCAGAGTGGGGTCTTACCAGAATCGCAGGCAGCCAAAAGGCCGAGGGGATCTTCGTCTCTCACAGAGGCCTGGGCTTTCCCAGCAGGCTCCCTTCCGGCTCCCGGCTCGCTCCCACGGTCGGTCAGACCTGCAGCGTTCAGGGGAAGAGTGGCAGGACCCGGCACACCCTGAGATGTGGTCCTGAAGCCATCTCTCTGCCGCCCTCCTGTCCCGCACTGCTGCGACGTCTCGCCTTGGGAGGGCTTCCACATCCCCTTCATCTTGCTGGGAGAAGCAGAAGTGTGAACATCTGTCCCAGGTCACTTCCAGCCAACTGTATGAGCTCCACTCACATAATATGTGCCTCACATCCGTCCGGAGCATCACACAATTCCATAGCCATCAAAACAACCACCCAATCAAGCCACCATGGCATACTGGTTACGAGTGGTGGACTCTAACCTGGGGAGCTGGGTTTGATTCCCCACTCCTCCTCCATATGAAGCCCGTCGGGTGACCTCAGGCTGGTCACAGTTCTCTCAGAACTCTCTCAACCACACCTGCCTCACAAGGCGTCTGTTGTGGGGAGAGGAAGGGGAGGCAATTGTAAGCCGCTCTGAGACTCCTGAAGGTAGAGGAAAGCGGGATACAAAAACCAACTCTTCTTCTTCACATCCCATTAGGCATTAAGTGATGCTGATGGTACATTAAAACTCCCAGACAGCGGAAATCCACTAACTGTAGTTACAATGCCAGCATATTCACATTATCAAAAAGTATATGCTGAGAAGTATCTGGCTGCCTTTTGATGGCCCATTTTCTTACAGTCCATCTGAGACCACTCCTCAACAAGCAGAAAGCAACCAGGGCCATAAACATGGAAACTGAACATCTGACACCACCCTCTGAACCCACCTCGGAACAGGATTTGGAACACCGCTGACACAGAAGGCCGCCCAAACTCATTCCGCTCCCGAGAGGAAGGATCATCCACCACCCCCGCCTTCCAAGATGTCCGCCCACACATTGCCAAACACAGGAGAATGAGTGCATTCCAGAAAAGCATCTACTCCACAAACACGCATCCCCAAAAATAAGATCAAAAGGTCTTTCTTAAGTAGGATGGCAACCCACCCCTTAGGGCTTCGATTCCCAAACGGTGTGTCCAGGCACAGGAGCAACATCCTGTCCGAGCGGCCAAAGAGGTGCCTCCATTAAGCCACCATAGGGGTTACATCCACCACCCTACAGAATAGCCACACTTCCTTCTCTTGAACGGAAGGAGGGATATCGGGAAGCAAAATTAACCGGGAGATTCTTCAAGCACAAAGATGTCCACGGTTCTGGAAAACTGTCATACACACTTCTCAGTAGAAAGTGAAATACTCCGCTTATTTCAGTCCAGAGAGGAGAAACCCTGTGCCCCAGAGGTGTCAAAAGCACATGTGCCCCCCCCCCCGGGTGTTGAGAATCAAACCACATTCCTACATGACAACAAACCTTTGTTCACAACAGGCAAGAACGCAGCTGGTTGCCCACTTCTCTCTCCTCCCCCTCCAGTTCACCTGGAGGATTCCAGTTCTATAATCTTACATATAATTTCTTACTCCCATCCTCAAAATAAAATAATTTTTAAAAAATCCCGGGAAGATTAGAGGAACAGCATATACCTCCTTTCTTCTTGCAGACCTCGACCCTGGAAGCTTGAACTGAGCTGCCAGTTCCTGTGCAGCTTCCCAGCGTCTACCAAGGCACGGGGCTGATTTCGGCTAGATTCGGGCCCAGTGGCACCGTACAGACCAACCAGGTTGGGAGGGGGGGGTGAGCTGCTGAGAGGCAAAGTTCCCTTCGTCAGATGCAAGTGTTGATTTAGTGACCTGCATCCACTTTTTAAAAGAGCCACACATTTTGTGAGTTCTGATGCTGACAGACTAACACGGCCACCCATCTGAAGAAGTGACTGCAGTGACTCATGAAAGTTCCTACCCTGCCACAACTTGTGGTAGTCTTGAAGGTGCTCCTGGACGCTTGCTCTTTTCTACTGCTAGAGACAGACGAACACAGCGACCCATCTTGATCTATCACTTTTAAAAAACATCTCTTAATGGAAGACGGTATATATTCTTACAACCACTCTGCTAATGTATGTTTTATTCTGCGGGTCCACAATCATAATAAATTATTGACGGATTCCTTAGAACATGTAGGAAATTGGGGGGGGGGGGGGGTTGAAGGCTGAAAATAAAATGCTGGTTTGGGGCATCTCGAAGGAAATCCAACCCTCTATGGTGTTTGAATACAAAGAGCCAGTGTGGAGTTCAGACAGCAGTAAGACACCTGGAGACAGGTCTGTTGCACGTGCGCCCTCTGCACCACACACAGGTCCTGGTTTGAGCCTTTAAAGCCCTCTGCGGTCTGGGAACAACAGGTCTGCAGGACTGTCTCTCCCAGGATGTTCCGCAAAGAGCTTTACGCCCCATGAATCAACATCTCTTGGTGATCCCCAGCCCAGAAGACATTTGCTTAGCTCCAACCAGAACCAGGGCTTTTTAGCTCTGGCCCCAGCCTGCTGGGACACTCTCCCACGCGAGACCCGGGCCTTGAGGGATCCACTCCAGTTCTGCCGGGCCTGCAAAATGGAGACGTTCCACCACGCCTACGGTTGAGGTGGCGGAATTCCACCTTTATTGGCCTCTCCGTGCTCTATCCTTCTGTTGTTTCTTCTTACCCACCCACAGTGCCAGTCGTTGATAAGCACTCAGATACAGAGTTCTGGGGGCAGTTGTTACCTGTGCTACGGATTGACATCTAATGGTTTAAGATTAACTGATGTTATATAGGTTAATTGATGACCATGTATGTTTTAATTCTGCTTCATTTTACTGTTTTATATCCACTCTTGTAACCTGCCCTAACCCTTGCTGTGCAGGGAAGGGTGGGCTAGTAATCAAATGAATGAATGACTGCGTGAATGAACGAAGGCCAACTCTGTGCCTGGAATGTCTGCGCGGGCTTGATTATCAGCCCAGAGAGGGGGTTAAAAAGGCACAACCTGAACTGAAGCAAAGCAGACCACAGACAGAGCCAATGCCTGCGTGGAAACCCCCTAGAAACCACCTCAGCGCCGCTTGAGCCTCTTTTCCCCAAAAGCCATGTCTCAAGCCTAAAAAGCACAGGGTCCTTTCGAGACGGGAGGAGACCCGCCGGTGCTCCGTGAGGGGGTGCCTCTGCCAGAGCCACGCGGCCTCCCCCCCGCCCGCCATGCCCGCCAGGCTTACCCAAACTGCAGCGTGCTCAGCACCTCTCCTCTCTGCTCCTTTTCCATCTGCAGCGCTTTCTTTTTTTCAATGTTCGCCAAAGTAGGGAAATTTCTAGAAACAACATCCACACAAAGCAGCTTTACTGCAAAACTCCTGGCGTGGCCCTGAGGCCGTCCCTCGCCCACCTTCGTAAACGGCCAGTGGCAACATGACAGCCAGGTAAGACTTTCCTTTTTATTTTCACACTGCACAGGCTGCAGCGGTTTACAATGCCTTCTCAAGTACTGAGTAGACTTAACATTTTCCATACAGAAAAAGATATTGATATTTTAAATTCCATAAATATGCTAAACAGTGCAATCTTACGTGCTGACTAATCTATAAATGATGCATTCTATGTTGGTAAACCAGTAAAAGTTTAGATGTGATAGGAAAGTAAAGTGCATAGACTGCATATATTTCAATTCCCTCCACATTTTTGCCCCCCCCCCCCCAACGGTAGGAAAAAATGGTTTATTCACATGGCTTCAAAATTTCTAGAAATGCTACATTTCTGACTGCCAGGGAGGAACCTGAACAGTCCTCTGGCCAAAAAACCCTTCACAGAGACAACCAAACGTCAGAGCGGGGACTTCTCACCTGTCTTTCCCTGACGTGACTGTTTTTCTCTGCAGAGCAATCTTTGTAGGGAGGAGCATCCCCTCGCCTGAACCTGAAGCTGTCTAATGCAGAGACCAGCTGGCCACCCCGCTGAGAAGGACCTCAACCTCATACCAAGCAGGACCTACCAAAGATGGCAGAGACTGGCAAACTTTAAACACTGTGTGGGCACCTGGCACAGTGGGGCCATAAGGGAAATGGGAGACCTGTGCCAACAGAGGCTGGGCAGTGGTTCAGTGGAAAAGCCTCTGCTTTGCAGGGAGAAGATCCCCAACCCCCAGCATCTCCGGTGGTGGTGGTGGTGGTGTGAAAGACCTCAGCTGGAGACCCGAGAGAACAGCTGCCAGACCCTGATAGACTTGGGGGGGGGGGGTCTGATGCTGTACAAGGGCAGCTTCACATTATGTGTTCCTGTGTGCTCCCATGCCCCTGTCCACTGGCCCTCCCCTGGCAAACCTCAGCCAGACTGAAGTGGGAGGGACGAAGAGGCCCCGTCAGCCCTGCAGGAACCTGGCCCAGGACCCGCACACAAGCCCCCCCCTCCCCCGGGGACGTGTGCCCAGGGAAGTGGTGGGCTGCGGTGAGCCTGTCCTGTAGTACAAAACAGAAAGTACACAGGCTGATTCATTTGACTCATCCCAGCTGGGGCTAAGCCCTTACTGCTGAAAGGCCCTGGGTTACCAGAACTGGTTAGAGAAATAGAGCACTTTCCCCTCTTGCCCTCACAGGTGTATCAACTACTACTCACTTTTTTCTTTCTTCCCTCCATTTAGCAATCTCCTCAAGAGTATCTAACTTGATTCGTTTGGCTCCAGGAGAATGCATCTACAGAGAAGGAGCAAGGGAAACACTTGAAAAAGCCTGAAATACAAGTGCAGGTGAAATACAGATAAAACTATTGTTCTCTCAAAGACTAAATGGAACTAGTAATGTAAGTTGGTACTGATATCCCCCCTCCCCAAACGAAATTTACAGACCAAGGCCCTGGAGTGAAGCAACTCTCTGAAGCTAAGCAGGTCTGAGTTTGGGGGGCTGTTCTAGGACAGAAGAGAGCCTGAGAATTGGAGGGAAGCAAGGAGGGGCCGCGCTGCCTGCACGCACAGAGCAGGAGGACTACTCATGGGAACGGCTATGCAAGAAAGTAAGAGAGCCCATGTGTTGTTTGGGTCAACACTTAAGGGCCGGAGGCGGGAGAGGAGGTCGAGCTCAGTTAAGGACACAGGCTGAAAATAAGCCAAGAAATTGGGATATCTGCTCATTGAAATTGCACACTTGGGAGGTGAAACAAGGTAAAGTGTCATGGTATAAGTTACAGGAATAAGTAAGCATTAATATCATCAGTGGACTAACCTGCAAGGCTGTGTTATATGCCCCATGCCATGACAATCAAGTTACAAAAATCATAACAAGGTGACCGAAACAAGGCAGCATCACAATTCAAATGGGATTGGGGTTCAAACCACAGAAGGGAAGATACTTACATTCTTCCAGTGGATGTGAACCAATTTTTCATGTGCACTGAAGCTACACCCATCTTCTGTACACTGAAAGGGGAAAAAGGCACATTTGGAAGCTGTATTACATTTACAACTAAGAGCTAGAATCACAGAGTTGGAAGGGACCTCCAGGGTCATCTAGTGCAACCCCCTGCACAAGGCAGGAAATTCACAAATACCTCCCCCTCCACACCCACAGTGACCGCCGTTCCACACCCAGAAGATGACAAAAAAACCTCCAGGATCCCTGGCCAAACCAGCCTGGAGAAGAATTGCTTCCTGACCCGAAAGTGGCTAGTCAGTCAGTACAACAGGACACCATTTGTATCAAAAGTCACAAACTCTTTACCTAGTGTTGCATGCTACAACTCCATCTACGGGCAAAATGTGGAATTTATCGCAAGGGATTGAGAATAAAATGGCTGATATTGTAATGCCCCTGGATAGATCTATGCTGCAGGCTCATTTGGAATACTGCGGATGGCTCTGGTCACCATATCTTTAAGCAGTGGCTGGACAAACACTTGTTAGGGATTGTACAGGATTAGCCCACCCAGGCCAGTCCAGGGATGAGAGGGAATCCTGTACTTTTCAGTACATTAAACAACAAACCACGAGATGGTCTATACCCTCTCTCGTTTTCAGAACAATTTGCCACCAGAACCTCTTTTCACTAGTTCCTGCTTTTCCTAAGGGAAGAGATTCCAAACCCTTAGTTGGCATCTGGGACAGAACACATTAGCAAATCAATTCAGAGATGCACACTTTTACTCTTACCAAGGTAGCTTATGTGGTCAGGGTTAGGCACAAGACTTAGACTTGGAATTCAAGTTACAACATCACAGACCATTAGAAATAAGAAGGATCTTTATTCAGTACAGAGCACAGCAAACAGACTAGGAGATTACAAAATAACAAAGGCTAGGGCAATTTGCCTTAACTACACATTAAAGATACATAGTTACCAATTCAGGAACATCCAACAGTCCAGAATAGTCCAAGGGATTTTGAAGGGAAATCCCATCTTTGCACACCCATGTGCTCCAAGTCACCAAGCAGGTCTTTGTTTTCCAAGAGACAGCATTTCAGGTGCAATAAAACAGGCAGCAAGAGCCTCAGAGCTAATAGAACAAGAGACTCGAGAACAAGAGACTCGAGAACAAGAAGAGGAAGGGAGAGCTAAGAGACTCACTCCCATAGGGATCAATCAATTATACCCCAATCTAATCATGATTAGCCATGGCCATTCGGCCAATCACAAGCAGCAGGGGTGTGTGGCCAATTTCAGGTTGCCATAGCTGCATGTGGGGATAGGCTATACGTTTGGGACCTCGCCTGCAGTCATCTGACCCAAACTCCAGCTACTTCATTGTGTATGTGACTGGTCACAAGTGGGCCAGAGTGTGGAGCCATGAGGTCTGGATTTTGGCATGAAGGTGTGAAAGAATGTGGTTTTATGGCATGGCTATTGAGGCCATGGGGCCTCACCATTTGGCTTGCAACAGGAAATAAGACACAGCATGTTATCATACTGTAATCACAGGAGAAGGCATGTGGATATAGAAAGCAGAAAGCAATTTTTCTATACAGGGATGCTCTAGGCTGACCCTGCATTGAGCAGGGGGCTGGACTAGATTGTGTCAAACTCTGTCTATAGTTTGCCATGAATTATGGGGAGGGGGGGCAGGACGGGACATTCTTAAGGGGGTTGTGAATGGCTGAGTGTGTGAACTGTTCTGTTGCAGGTGATCATTCCAAGATACCTCCCTCCTACCGCTGACGAACTTGAAGCTGAAGCTGTGCCTGCTTCGCTGTCTTAGATAAGGGGATTCATGTACCCACAGGTGTGTGTGTGGGGGAATGCAGAAGCGCAAAAGCTAAGCGGGACGGTTGCAGAGTGTGATTGGTTGTATGGAAAGGGTGTGTGTGTCTTGTTTGAACTGTCTATATATTTGGATTCTCCTGCCAGAACCTCAAGTCTGGCCTGGAACATGATTATTTCTCAATAAACAAATCACAGCCAGAGAGTGTTGTTGAGAGTAACTTTGTCCAGATGTCTGACAGATGGCCTGTATGGCCCCTTCCAACTCTGTGATTCTTCTATGATCTCCAAAAAGACATTGCAGAGCTTGATAAAGTACAGAGGAAGGCAACCAAGATGATTAGGAGGTTGGAGCACCTTCTCTATGAGTCTTCCCTGAAGAGTCTAGGACTTTTCAGTTTGGAAAAGAGACGGGGTGAGGGGGGACATGATAAAATTATGCATGGGGAGAACTTTTGACAAGGAGAACTTTTTTCCCCTCTCCCAAAATACTAGAACTTGAGGGCATCCAATGAAGCCGATGGGCGGTAGGTTTGGGATGGACAAAAGGAAATACTCCTTTAAACAGAGACTGATTAAAATGTGGAACTCACTGCCAGAGGATGTAGTGATGGCCACAAGAATAAGTGGCTTGAAAAAGGGATTAGATTCATGGAGGATGTCTTATCTGTGGCTACTAGCCATGGTGGCTGAGGGGAACCTCCATTTTCAGGTGCACTAAACCTCTGAGACCCAGAGCCAGGAAGCAACAGCGGGGGAAGGCCTCAGCCTCTCTGCTCTGTTGTTGGCTATCCAGAGAACTGGTTGGCTGCTGTGTGAGACAGGATGCTGGACTAGATGTACTATTGGTCTGATCAAGCAGGGCTCATTACGTTTTTCTTTAGATCGTTATATGTATCTGTGGTTTCATTTCCCCACCTGGTCCCTCTTATCTCTATGTTCTTACCATCCATGACAGCATGATCAACGTCAACCACAACGAAACATGGATCTAATAAGATGCCCCTTTAGCAGACACAAAACTGAGCCACCAAGTGAAACCACACCTGCTTGTGCTGAGAGAGATGCTCCTCATACTTCGCCTTGTTTTTAAAGCCACGATCACACGTGTCACAATAATGAGTAAAAACTGGTTCTTTCCTCTTCTTGTTCTGCAAACACACAAGAGGGACATTAGCTGGGACCACAAGCATTAGTCTTAACACTTTGAGCAGCACACGTATCACAGGTAGGGTTCTAGGGACCATCCTGAGCATGCACAGCATTTGGGTCAGAGCTGGAACGGGATGCTGAGCAGAACGGCTGACTAGCAACTTTCCGTGACGTATGAAAAAATCAAATCTGCTCTCATTAAGGGTCACTATTACTCATGTTACAGACTAGGAATTTCATAGAATCCTAGAGCTGGAAGGGGGCATACAGACCATCTAGTCCAACCCCCCTGCCCAATGCAGGACCAGCCTAGAGCATCCCTGACAAATATCCCTCCAGCCTCTTCTTGAAAGCTGTCAGTGAAGGGGAGCTCACCACCTCCCCATGCAGCTGATTCCACCTTTGAACCACTCTGACCATGGAAAAGCGTTTCCTAATATTTATTTATTTTTATTTTTTTATAGTCAAATTTATACCTCGCCCTCCCCTCAAAGCAGGCTCAGGCGATATCTTTCTGCGTTGCTTCGAGTCCTATCTGCTGTCAACTGGAACAGCTCCTTGCCCTCCTCCAAATGACAGCCTTTTAAATCATGTCCCCCCCCCCCAATCTCCTCTTCTCCAAACTAAACATTCCCAAGGGTGTGTTTCCTCGTAGGGCTCAGTCTCCAAACCTCTGATCATCTGCATCGCTCTCTTCTGTATCCTCTCGATTTTATCCACATCCTTTTTGAAGTGAGGCCTCCAGAACTGCACACAGTACTCAAGGTGCGGCCTGACCAAGGCAGAGAAATATTCTAGCATTGCAACACCTGGAAGTTCTACCCTCCCCCACCCAGGCATCTTATCTTCTCTGTTAAACTCTGACATGGAGCCAAGCTCCTGTGGCTGTGATTGCCAAAGATCAAAGGCAGAGAAGGTTTTCACTAACCTCTCTGGTCATGGCACAACAGGTGCCTGGAGCCAGCTGTGGCCGTTCCTGGACAGAAAGATCTTACTACCATGGTGCATACCCTGGCAGCATCTATATTTGAGTACCGCAATGTGCTCCATGTGGGCCTGCCCTTGAAGACTGCATCTGCTATAGCTTCACAGGGGTCGGGGAGAGCCTTCCTAATAGATGGAGCCCAGGCTTAGCTTGCCTTCAGCTGCTCCAAGCCAAAGGGGAAGGGAGAAAACGCCAAGCCTCTTCCAGGGAAGTAAATGCACTGGAAAAAGACATCTCTCTTTGATCAGGAATGGGCAAGGGAGAAAGTGGGGCAAACGTCTGTGGCACAGGAACAGACACAGAGCTCTGTGCCAGCAGTGCAGAACACATAGGCATGTTCTTGGTACAGAAAATTTCCCCTCTCCGCTGAACTGAATCTTGTGAACTAACAGGCCACAACTCCTTTGTGGTAAAAAGCACTCTGCACATGCTTAGAGACTATCCTTTATTAAGCCTCCTAATCTAATGATCAACCAAAGCACAAAGTATAGAATTTGAGAGGAGAGGAGAAACAAATAAGCTGTGAAAAGCTTTTGAGAAGTTTCATTCCAAGAAGCTTTCCAGAAGAAACTCACTGCCTCCAACCCCTCTTTTGTGACTTTTGGGCAAACAGGAAATGTTTTTCTGTTGAAAGCTGGACAGAAGAGTGATAACAACAAATGGAGCAGACTTTGGTCAAAGGCTTTGTTCACTTTGTGCACCCATAAAAAGCACAGGGCTCTCACCATTTTGCTCTAAGGAAAGACTCTCGACCAGTTAGGCTCCACCAACTGCATTAATCCAGTTCTGCTGGCTTACTCTAGCCCAAATCCTCTCAACAGCATCCTCTCAACCCAGCATCGGAATACACAATTTTATATCAACTGAATTAAGCGAGTGTGAGAGAAACTCCTGATTCTGAATGGATGCGAGGACGGAACAAGGGACGTACACCTGAATTCAGCACTGTTAATTCAACTGCACGGCCACCGTTTTCAAAGCATGAGAAGCTGCAACACTGGCAACGAAAGCACTTATCATATCACTAAGCATGAATAAAGGTAGATGCTACACAGTAACACCCAATACCTTCTGCTTGTAGTTCTGTTGATAAGCTCTGAAACGTTGCTGTCCTCTTTGTTCCACTTGCCATTCTTCACCATAATGGCAGATTCCTCCTTTAAGAACATAAACATACATATATACATATTCACGTGGGGGTGGGGAATCAAGCAGCAAACAGAAAAACCGCCCTTGTATGAGAGGCACACCTACTCCACATTTGACAACTACCAGCAGTGAGCTCTCTTGCCAAGGGCCCCCTGGCTTCTGCAGGGGCTAACCAAGGGAGCACAGGGCGCTGTCATTGATTCGTTTAATATTTGCTCTGTCTGTAGTCTTTCTCCCCAAGACTCAAGGTGGACTACACAGGGTCAGTCAAGGGCAACCAACAGGACGCAGCATTTAATAAGCAACGTAATCCAACTGAGAAATTTGAAACAAAGGAAAGAGTTGAGTGGTAGACATGATATAGTAAACAATTCAGAACATGGTATTACCGAAGTGGGTCTGTGGAGGTCCTGAAGAGGTGCCTGGAGATGGTAATGGAATGGGTGGGGGCCAATAAACTGAAGCTCAGCCTAGGCTGTTTGCTCAGGGAGAGAGTTTCACTCCCCCCCCCCCAGGAGCAGGTTTGTAGCTTGAGGAAACGGCTAAATTCCAGCCTGCAGCTGGAGACCCCGATCTCCCGTGACATGTAGAGCCTACGTTGCATTCTTTTAGACAGACAGCAGGCCAAAACATTTCGGTTCGCTCAGATTTTTGTTTATGTGGTTGATCTTTTAAAGTAACACTATTTTAGACAGGAAATGGTTATTTAAAGCTCTCAGTGGTCTCGGTTTTTTATAACTATTTATAACCTTTTCAACAATAACTGGACAAAGCAAATATTCTTGAAACATACGCACAAACTATATGACTATCAACAGTAACAAGAACAATTTTTGAAGAGATTACATACCCTTAACAGAAGTTAATAAAATTAAAACTGGATATATTTCTTAGGTAAGGCACCTTCCTCAGTTGCATAATTAGTGATTTAGTAAAAAAAAAAAGAAACTTTTCTATAAAACAGGACTGGAACATAAGAACATAAGAGACGCCAATGTTGGATCAGGCCAAAGGCCCATCCAGTCCAACACTCTGTGTCACACAGTGGCCAGAAATACCAGTGCCATCAGGAGGTCCAGCAGTGGGGCCAGGACATTAGAAGCCCTCCCACTGTTGACCCCCCCCCCAAGCACCAAGAAGACAGAGCATCACTTGCCCCAGAGCCCCTAGCTATACCTTGTGGCTAATAGCCACTGATGGACCTCTGCTCCATATGCTTATCTAATTCCCTTTTGAAGCCGTCCATGCTTGTAGCACCCACCACTTCCTGTGGCAGTGAATTCCATGTGTTAATCACTCTTTGGGTGAAGAAGTACTTCCTTTTATCCGTTCTAACCCGACCGCTCTGCAGTTTCATGGAGTGCCCACGAGTTCTTGTATTGTGAGAAAGGGAGAAAAGTACCTCTTTCTTTACCTGCTCTTTCCCATGCATAATCTTATAAACCTCGATCATGTCACCCCTCAGTCGTCTTTTCTCCAAGCTAAAGAGCCCTAAGCGCTTTAACCTTTCCTCATAGGGAAAGTGTTCCAACCCTTTTATCATTCGAGTTGCCCTTTTCTGCACTTTTTCCAAAGCTATAATATCCTTTTTAAGGTGTGGTGCCCAGAACTGCACACAGTATTCCAAATGAGGTCTCACCATTGATTTATATAGGGGCATTATTATATTGGCTGATCTGTTTTCAATACCCTTCCTAATAATCCCCAGCATAGCATTGGCCTTCTTTATTGCAGTCACACACTGTCTCGACATTTTCAGTGAGTTATCCACTACAACTCCAAGATCTCTCTCTTGCTCAGTCTCTGCCAGTTCAGACCCCATCAATGTGTATTTATATTTAGGATTTTTGGCTCCAATGTGCATCACCTTGCACTTGGCCACATTGAACCCCATTTGCCATGTTGACGCCCACTCGCCCATCCTTGACAGATCCCCTTGGAGTGCCTCACAATCCTCACTGGTTTTCACCACCCTGAACAACTTTGTATCATCCGCAAATTTAGCCACTTCACTGCTTACTCCCATCTCCAAATCATTAATGAACAAGTTAAAAAGCAGTGGACCAAGTACTGATCCCTGCGGTACCCCACTGCTTACCACCCTCCACTGAGAAAATTGCCCACCTACACTCACTCTCTGTTTTCTATGAACTAGCCAGTTTTTGATCCATAAAAGGACTTGTCCTTCTATCCCATGATTTTTGAGCTTACTTAGGAGCCTTTGATGAGGAACTTTATCAAAAGCTTTCTGGAAGTCAAGGTAAATAATATCTATTGGATCCCCCTTGTCCACATGTTTGTTCACCCCCTCAAAGAACACTAACAGGTTAGTGAGACAAGATCTTCCCTTACAGAAACCGTGCTGAGTCTGCCTCAATAGGTTTTGTTCATCTATGTGCCTACTAATTCTTTCCTTAATAATGGTTTCCACCAATTTACCCGGTATCGACGTCAGACTGACTGGCCTGTAATTTCCCGGATCTCCTCTGGAACCCTTTTTAAAGATGGGAGTGACATTAGCTACCTTCCAATCCTCAGGAATGGAGGCAGATTTTAAGGAAAGATTACATATCTTTGTCAGGAGATCTACAAGTTCACATTTGAGTTCTTTCAGAACTCTCGGATGTATGCCATCTGGGCCTGGTGATTTTTCAGTTTTTAAGTTGTCTATCAGTTTTAGGACCTCCTCTCTCGTCACCTCAATCTGACTCAGGTCTTTCAACACCCCTCCTGAAATCAGTGGTTCTGGAGTGGGCAAGCACTTCTCATCTTCCACAGTGAAGACGGAGGCAAAAAATGCATTTAGCTTCTCAGCCATTTCCCTATCATCCTTCAATACTCCTTTTACCCCTTGGTCGTCCAAGGGCCCCACTGCCTCCCTGGCTGGTTTCCTGTTTCTAATGTATTTGAAGAAAGTTTTATTGTTGGTTTTTACGTTTTTTGCTATATGCTCCTCATATTCCCTTTTTGCCTGCCTGACCTCAGACTTGCATTTTATTTGCCATAGCCTGTGTTCCGTTTTATCAGCCTCACTGTGACTAGCTTTCCACTGCTTAAAGGAATTCTTTTTACTTTTTACAGCCTCCATTACTCTGTTTGTTAACCATGCAGGCTTTTTCCTATACCTGTTTGTGCCTTTCCTAACCTGCGGAATATATATTTTTTGAGCTTCTAGGATCGTAGTTTTAAATAGATCCCAAGCTTCCCCAATTGTTTTGACCCTTTCTACTTTTCCTTTCAGTTTCCTCCCCACGTGTCCCCTCATATCAGAGAAATTACCCCTTTTAAAGTTAAAAATGGTTGTGTGAGTCTTTTTGGCCAATTCTCTATTTGTACAAATGATGAACTCAACAACATTATGATCACTGTTTCCAAGCGGTGCAATCACTTTTACATCTCTCACCAGGTCTTGAGTGTTACTTAGGACCAAATCAAGGATCGCCTCTCCCCTGGTAGGTTCCGTGACCATCTGCTCCATAGCACAGTCATTTAGAGTGTCTAGAAACTCAATCTCTTTTTCCCGGCTAGAACACATATTGACCCAATCAATGTGTGGGTAGTTAAAATCACCTATTATTACACAGTGTTTTTGTCTAGTTGCTATCTTTAAGGCATTCATCATTTTATAATCCTCCTCTATCTTTTGATCTGGTGGGCGATAACAAACTCCCAGTGTTAAGTTTCCTTTTGGCCCCCCTATTTCAACCCATAGAACTTCCAGAAGCGAATCCAATTCACTTAGCCTCTCAATCTTTCTAGACTTTATACCCTCTCTGACATACAGAGCTACCCCACCTCCAACCCTTCCCCCCCTATCCTTCCGATATAATATATAACCGGGAATCACTGTGTCCCACTGATTTTCCTCATCCCACCAAGTTTCAGAAATACCCACAATGTCTATTTTTCCCTCCGACACCAAGCACTCCAACTCCCCGATTTTACCTCGGACACTTCTAGCATTTGTATAGAAACAGCTGTAATTTCCCTTACAAGTTAAGCCTGCATCCTTCCTCTTGCTATCTCGAGTCGTTGTCCGGCAGTCCATGTCACCAGCCATGGCCTCTGTGGACAATTTCAATCCACCTCCCTGTAGAAAAGCAACCGGTACCCCCTCACCTCTCTCAGATGAGCCAACCCGAACCAGAGACTTTTCATCTCCTGTCGGCTTTCCCCCAATATTCAGTTTAAAAGCTGCTCTGCCACCTTTTTGATTTTAAGTGCCAGCAGCCTGGTTCCTTCTCGGGACAAGTGGAGACCGTCTCGCCTGTACAGCTCCCTCTTGTTCCAAAAAGTATCCCAGTGCCTAACAAACCTGAACCCTTCCCCCCTACACCATCGTCTCATCCACGCATTGAGACTCCTGATCTCTGCCTGTCTCTCCGGCCCTGCGCGTGGAACAGGTAACACTTCTGAGAAGGCTACCTTGGAGGTCCTGGACCTAAGTTTCCTGCCCAGGAGCCTAAATTTCTCCTCCAGGACCTCACGACTGCATTTCCCCACATCGTTGGTGCCGACATGCACCACGACCACTGGCTCCTCCCCAGCACTATCTACCAGCCTATCTAAAACACGCGTAATGTCCGCTACCTTCGCACCAGGCAGGCAAGTCACCATACGGTCAGTACGCGGGTTCGCCACCCAGCTGTCTACCTGCCTAAGGATCGAATCACCCACTACCAAGAGCCCCCCTCCCACCCTGCTCAGGGATGGTTCCTTGGTGCAAAAGGAGAGCCGCTCACCAGCTGGGGAAGAGGTCCCTTCTGAGGGCACATTCCCCTTATCCTCAGCATGGTGCCCTGTTTCCCCTAGACCCTCATGCTCCCTGACAGCAGCGGGGCTGCCAGATCCAGAGTGGGACGTAGCTAACAAGTCCCCGAGAGTCTTTTCTGTGTGCCTAGCTGACTGTCTCTGCTTCTCCAGGTCAGCCACCTTGGCCTCAAGGGAGCACACACGTTCCCTGAGAACCAGGAGCTCCTTGCACCGAGGACACACCCAAGACTTCTGCCCAGTGGGCAGATAGTCATACATGTGACACTCCGTGCAAAACACTGGATAGCCCCCAACCCCCTGCTGGCATTCTGGCTTCATAATTCTTTTAAAATAAATAAATATAATCCCCCTTTTTAAACCCTTGGTATTTATGTGGGTTTTGTTATCAAGTCAAATTATTTTACGGGAAAGACAAAGAGCCTGGCTCTTTTTGGGCTACTTACAGAGCCCCTAGTCTAAGAGTCCACAGGCAAAGAGCCCTTTAGCTCGCCCTTCGGCTCGTGCCTCTGGCAAGGTGCTTCCTTAAATAGACTGGAATTTAGGATTATTATCAGCAATCACTAATTGAGCTAATATCCATTGCTATATGGTCCCATACTTTTAGGACCCATTGTTTAATAGTTGGAACCCTATCTGATTTCCAGTACTGCGCAAGTACTGTCTTAGCTGCCGCTAGCAATGAAGAGACAGAGGCTTTTCTCAATTTAGGAAAATAATTATTAATCCAAAAATTGAGAAAAATGGTTTCAGGGCTGTGCGGTATTGAATAACTGGCAGTGTTCTTTATAATCATCAGAATTTTATCCCAAAAGGTCCACCAACAGCGGATAAATGTACTCAGTTGCCACAGCTTTTTCAGCATTGAGAGTCTTTGACAGACTCATAATGGTAGAGCTTCAGTGGTGTTAAATATCACCTAGTAAACATCTTGTAGGATTGTAGCTTGATGTTTAAAGCTTTGGTAGGGTAGAAACTAGAGGACCAGACAAGACTCTATTGTTTTAGTTAATAGTGATTCCACAATCTTTTTGCCATGCTTTCTGATGTGCTGTAATTATGGACCAATGCTCTTCATTTAACAGTTTGTAAAGGGCAGAAATTGCTCCTTTTGCACAATATGAGCTGTTTTTTCAAAGAGATTCAAATGAGGTTAAATCCCTATTAAGTAAAGCATTGATATCTGTTTTATGATGTATTCGGTTATACTGAAACCATGGGATATCAAATTTGTATTTTGACTCCAGTTGACATTTCGATCCTAGTTGCCGTTTTTGAAAAATGTCACTGAGTCTACAAACAGGTTTTTTCCTCTCAATTTTTTGTAAGAATCTGGATTCTTGCCTGGGTCCTTAAAATGCTGCTACAGGGAACGTACCAGCAGCTAACAGTTTCCAGTGTTTGTCCCATACGTGCAGAGTCTGGATAGAATCAAGGTAGGTCATAAGAACATAAGAGATGCCAATGTTGGACATTGTATTAAAGCAACCAATATTTCTAAACAAATTATTTAGTATTTCTACCTCCTCCCTAGGATTGGCTGGAAGACAGAGAGAGAGAGAGAGTGCTGTCTTCTGCACATTGGTCACAACTCAGCCCAGGTCTGGGTTGGAAAATACCTAGAGACTTTGGGGGGTGGATCCAAGAGAGGGAGGGGTCTGGGGAGTAGCCTCCGCAGGGTACAAGGCAATAGAGCCCACCCTTCAAAGCCGCCATTTTCCCCAGGGGAGCTGACCTCTGTCAGCTGGGGATCAGTTGTAAAAGCGGGAGATCTCCAGGCCCCACCTGGAGCCTGGCACCCCAAGGGCATCCCGGGTTCAGTGTCACTGTCCAAAGCATCACTTGCAAGGCTCGTTCGTTCCCTAGGTAAAGGTTCGGTGCTCATCTCCGTTTCAAAGCCGAAGAGCCAGCGCTGTCCGAAGACGTTTCCGTGGTCATGTGGCCAGCATGACTAGACGCCAAGGCGCACGGAACGCTGTTACCGTCCCACTGAAGTTGTACCTATTTATCTACTTGCAATTTCTTGCTTTCGAACTGCTAGGTTGGCAGGAGCTGGAACTAGAGACGGGAGCTCACCCCGTCATGCGGCACACTCGGGTCTCGAACTGCTGAACTGCCGGCCTGCAGTTCAGCGTCTTAACCACGTGAGCCACCACAGCTCGTTCGTTCCCTACCGGAGGGCAGATCCCACTCTCCCTTCCACGCCGCAAGAGGGGCTGCTGCATATAAAGAACCAAACTTTGCTTTCCTTGAAGCCTGCGCAGGGTCTCGTGGCTCCGAGGAGGCGGGGCAAGAGCGCCCCCCCCCGTGACCACCCCCTCGCACGTGCAACGCCGTCGGTCCACGTACCTGGCGGGCGCGGCGGCCAGTGCCCGTAGGCGGCCCAGCCAGGGAAAGTCGGCGGCAGGGGCCAGGCGGACATTGCCTTGCGACGGCGAGAGTTCCCTGCTTCACGTGGCTCGCAGCCTCCCCCGGAAAGAGACAAGCGTGCTTCCGCCCGGTTGCGTGACGCCACCGGAAAACACGGTCGAAGGTCAGGGAAGACAGCGCGGGCGAGTAGCAGTGCGCATGCGCCCCGGAAATAGTCGGCTCGCTCCCACCCGCTAGTGTGGCGCCCCCAGAAGCGGCCGTAGCGGGTCGGCGGAGCGCGGCAGTGCGCAGGCGCTCTCCTTGCCGCTCGGCTCCCTCCCCGCCGGTCTCCGGCAGGCGCCTGCGAGCCATGGCCTCGCGAGATGTAATCGGGCCCGCGTTGCCTCCGGGCTTCGTCCGCTCCTCATCGCCTGACGACGGCAGTCGGGGTAAGGAGAAGGCCGCCGCCGCCGCCACTGGTGCCCGGGAGGGGAGGGTGAGACTGCGAGCGCCCCGCCCCCCTCGGCGGCTCCCGGCATTGACTTCCTCTGCAAGAGGAAGTGACGTCCTGGTGTGGGGGGGGTAGTTGCGAGTGTGTCGAGGGGAGGTTTTGTGGAGCCTTTTGTTTTGGTTATACATTTTTTGTAGTCCTCCCTTCGCGCCTGGACTCCAGGCGGATTACCCAGAGTGAATCCATACAGTCGGCAGGATGGGGCATTCATGACTAGGCAGTGGACGAATTTCCCTGCGGCCGGCTACATCCCCAATTGGTTGCCCACCTGTGATGGATGGTTGGGGCGCCATCAGATACAGTAGACTGACTGTTAGGTTTTTAATTTGTAATATTTGGATTTTTAAAAAGTAAAATGTTGGTTTTATTGTACATTCAACTGTTGGAAACTGCCCTAAGCCCTGCTTGGTGGGCAAAGGAATGGGATGTAAGCTGCATAAACAAACAAACACATAATAGGACCCATAAAAACATAATAGGCTCCAACCCATAGCAAACAACCCATAGCAATACAGACTACAGTCCCCAATAATTTGTCCAGGTAACTTCGTGAAGCCTTTTTGTGGCAGTGCTACCCGACTGCCTGCATAGAAAACCCTCTTGGATAATTCAGTTTTGCATAGCTTGGTTTTTTCAACTTCAAAGGAATATAGTTTGCACAATTATGCCAAATAGATAAATGTGATCCATTTAGTTGCAGGGCCAGCATTACCTCCTGACTACAGAAGCAACCTAAAAAGACGAGATTGTGATCAAGACTACACCTCTCCTCGTGTGCCCAGAGAAGCAGATTCGGATTCTGAAGATGACAGAGACGCAAGCCAAAATCCCAGGTCTGTGCACTGGCATGACTTATCTAGCTGCCTTCTACTAAGTCAGTCTTCTGGATGGCTCTCTTGGCCTGATCCTTCAGGTGTTTCACATTGGAGATGCCAGCAAGTGAACCAAGCATTTACCTCACCAGCCATGGCTTCTTTTCAGCTACACACCTGTGGAAATGGCACAGTTTTGGGATGGTCTTCGTGGTTTGAGATGAAGGCTTGATAAGATACAGATAATTTGAAAACATAGCCTATCAAATTAAATGAACCCCTCCTTTTATTTTTTTTCCAGAACTTGTGATGCCAAAACAGCATCTTCCCTTAAAGGTATACTTCAGTACCTTTAAGAAACTAAATGAAGATGATGAGCTTTTTACTTTAGTATTGTGTGTGCTGTCAGGATCTGGCTAAGGATTGTACAATCATAGAATTAGAAAGGACCTTGGGGGTCATCTAGTCTAACCTCCAGTGACCCCAGCTCCTTGCCCAGAAGATGGCAAAAAATCTCCAGGATCCCTGGCCTACAGAAAAATTGCTTCCTGACCCCAAAGTGGCAATCTCCTTGGGCGTGTAAGAAAGGGCCACAAGAACTGAGCACTGATGCAACCCTTCCTGCCCTCACTGTCATGATCTGCCTAAGTTCACAGAATCAGCAGATGGCCATAAGAACATAATATGTCAGATGGCCATAAGAACATAAGAGAAGCCAGTGTTGGATCAGGCCAATGGCCCATCTAGTCCAACACTCTGTAACACAGTAGCCAAAAATACCAGGTGCCATCAGGAGGTCCACCACTAGGACCAGGACACTAGAAGCCCTCCCACTGTTGACCCCCCCCCCAAGCACCAAGAATACAGTGCATCACTTGCCCCAGACTGAGAGTCCCTATCTAAACCTTGTGGCTAATAGCCACTGATGGATTTTTGCTCCATATGCTTATCCAATTCCCTCTTGAACCTGTCCTTGCTTATAGCCGCTGCCACCTCCTGTGGCAGTGAATTCCATGTGTTAATCACTCTATGGGTGAAGAAGTACTTCCTTTTATCTGTTCTAACCCGACTGCTCAGCAATTTCATAGAGTGCTCACGAGTTCTTGTATTGTGAGAAAGGGAGAAAAGTATTTCTTTCTCGACCTGCTCTATCCCATGCATAATCTTATAAACCTCGATCATGTCACCCCTCAACCATCGTTTCTCCAAGCTAAAGAGCCCCAAGCGCTTTAACCTCTCTTCATAGGGAAAGTGTTCCAACCCTTTTATCATTCCAGTTGCACTTTTCCCAATGCTAGAATATCCTTTTGGAGGTGTGGTGACCAGAACTGTACACAGTACTCCAAATGAGGTTGCACCATTAATTTGTACAGGGGCATTATGATACTGTTAGATTTGTTTTCAATTCCCTTCCTAATAATCCCCAGCATAGCATTGGCCTTTTTTATTGCAGTTGCACACTGTCGACATTTTCATTGAGTTATCTACTATGACTCCAAGATCTCTCCCTTGGTCAGTCTCTGCCGGTTCGGACCCCATCAATGTGTATTTATATTAGGATTTTTGGCTCCAATGTGCATCACTTTGCACTTGGCCACATTGAACCCCATTTGCCATGTTGACACCAATTCGCCCATCCTTAACATCCCTTTGGAGTGCCTCACAATCCTTCCTAGTTCTCACCACCCTGAACAACTTCGTGTCATCTGCAGATTTAGCCACTTCACTGCTTACTCCCAATTCCAAATCAACCCAATTTCTAAATTTGAGGAACTGCTATTAAAACGGACTGGTGAGGTGAAAGGTTTAATTTCCAAAATTTATAAAATATTAATAATCTGATGTAAATCAGAAAATGTGCAACTTCAAGCTTTGTGGCAAATGGATTGTCAGGGTTACATTCAGGAAAGTGACTGGGGAAAGATGAGAGATTCTCATAATATTACATCACAGATTTTTACTATTACATTTAGCACTTGTAAAGTTCTGGATGGTACACGCCTCCTACTAGGCTACATAGAATTTACCCTGAGGATAAAAAATTCTGTTGGAAAAGCTGTGGGAATGTGGCAGACTGTATTGATTGCTGGTGGCATTGCCAGGTAATTAATAATTTCTGGAGACAAGTGTTATTACAAATCTAACGGGATGTGACTTACCTGCTAACCCAGAAACAGTTGTGTTGGAAATCTGGCTGAATATATCTGTAACAAAAACAAAAAGTAAGTTAATAATGACTCTAATTGCGATTGCAAGAATTAATACTGCACAAAAATGGAGGGATATATGAATGGCAAAATAAGATATGGGAACATTTTGTATACGGCAAAACCTTTTCACGTACAAGGAAGGGACAGAAAGCGTTTCAAGCACTAGGAGGGGTTCTTCCAAAAAAATAAGCACTACCAAAGTTTGTTGTATTTTTAATTTGCATACTTTAACTGTTTTGAAGTTGCACTTTGTCAAGAAGGAAACATTATCATGATTATTGTTTTGTTATTCTGTTAGGTCCTTCTCAACTATTTCTGTATGTATACTATTTCCATTGTTTCTCAAAAATAAAAACATATAAATTGGGGGGGAAAACCACAGGATTTTCGGGGCACAAGTTTTCAAGAGTCAAAGTTCCCTTTAGTGCATGAGTTATCAGTCCTTTCAGACCAACAAACTGTCTTTTATCCCAGCCTGCAAAATGGGATTTCCTTACAAGCCTTCAGTAGTGTTGGGTACACTGTGTGTGCATGCGCGTAAGCAGACCACCCAGCTCTGTTGGTGCCTATCAAGGACACATCTGTGTTTCTTGTGATGTCTGAATGCAGACACAGTGGCAGAATAAGCTGCAGCTGTCAGTAGAGCCATCTGGCTTCTTTAAATCTGGGGTTTGAAGGATGAACAGTAGGACATGTAGTCATGTCCCTGTGATTGCGTGATTTAGATGAAACAAAATTGAAGATTAATTTATTAAGAAAACACAGGAAGAATAAAATTTACAGTCTAATTAAAAAAAACCTTGTTAGAGCTTTTTGTGATAGCAATATTTGCTGGTTGCAGAATTCTAGAATGGTGGATGAGAGAGTATTAGCTAAGCTACAGTCCGGCCTGAGGTGTCAGGGGGTGCGCGGACATGGAGAGCCCTGAGAAAGTTTGTATGTCGCAGGTCTGCCCCGTTATCTCTGAGCCTCCTGCAACATGAAGGTGCTTCCAAAGACTTCTAGATCCGGACAGCAGAAAATAAGCTGAATGTAAGATTTGGTTTGATGAAGGCAGTGACTTGCTGAAAGCCAAGTGAGAGTATGTTTTTGATCTGGTGAGAACTTCTTCCCTTCTTTGTATTGTGCAGGAAGGCTCTTCAGATCCTGGGAGAGGGCAGGGGCTTGTTCCTGCTGTCTGGAGCACCTTCAAAGCTCAGTGTGTCATTGCAGGAGAGAAGACCAAGCTTTTCATCCTCAGGGGCCAGCAGAACTCCTGGAAAGCACCCACTGTGGCTGCCTGTTTGACGCTTAGTTAGAGTAAGATCTGTAAGATGAGCTGCTCATGATATCCGATATTTACATTCCTGAGTGGAAAGTGTTGAGTGTTGTTTCCATGGAGATGTTTTTTTGTTTCTTGCCCTCAAGTCTCAGCTGCCTTATGGTGACCCCTGGTAGGGTTTTCAAGGCAAGAGATGGACAGGGGTGGTTTGCCATGGCCTGCCTCCGCGTCGTGACCCTGGTATTTCTTGGTAGTCTCCCAGTCAGACACTGACTAGCTTAGCTTCTGACATCTGACAAGATCGGGCTAGCCTGGCCCATCCAAGTCAGGGAGACAGGTGAGATAAAACAAGCGATTCTGTTATTATCATCCATATCCCGGTAATTACTTAAACTCCGTTGCTGTGTTTTCAGGAAACAGAGAAGACTTCAAGATGATGAGGATGATGGATTCTTTGGACCTGCTCTTCCACCTGGCTTTAAAAAACAGGATGATTCTCCAGAAAGGTAATCAAAATGAAGGATTTGTTTGGGTGTACTTCTTTAAAAATGGTTGCTTGAACCAAGGCTGAGTTTACAAACTGAAGTAAAAGGCTGAAAATACTTGGCTCTTGGGGTGTGTGTGTGTGAGGGGGGGTAGCTCAGCCGGCCTGGGTCTTCCAGCAGCTACTCAACTCTGCTGTTCCTGGCCACGCTGCCAGTCAGGCACCCACGAGTCCTGTGTTGCCGGGGGAGCCAGCATTGTCCCCTCAGTTACCAGCACACTCGGCACTGGCTTGACTCACCGGCTTCTTCGACGAGGAGGAAACTGGGAGGAAAACCAGTTCTTCCAGATGCTACAGAAATCTGGAATTGCTTTTTTCCCAGTGGAGATCTATCCCCAGGAAGCAATAGCCCTCCGAGATGAGGGCGGGGTGCATGTATGCCAAACGTAGTCCAGTGTGGGTACAGACTAGGAGCCTCTTCCTCCAGAGTAATTCATTTGTCCAGCTCCAGGTCTGTTATGAAAGAATAAACGGACATAAACCTGACGTTAAATACCACAGCTCTCAAAAACCAATGGGAGACCATTTAGATCTTCCAGGTCACTCCATTGCTGGCCAAGGAGTAGCAGTCCGCAAAACAGAGAAGCTTCAAGGGGAGATTACTGCATGAGACTGCTGCACGTGAGCTCATCCACAAGTTCAGAACAATGGACCTTCCCCAGGGCTGAGTAGGGACATAGGAGTCTTCCCTCATTACAAATAGTAATTTTCTGCCCCTAAGCATTTCTCTTCTCCTCTAATCAAGCTGCTTACAATGTGCATTGTGCCCCTGCATCCAGAGTCCCTTCTCCCCAACACCCCTCCCTCCTCCTGGCCAGGATATGAGGACTCTGTGATCTCCATTCCAACTCATGACTGACAGAGGGGGGCTTGACTCTTGAAAGCTTTATATCCCAAAAGTCTGGTCGGTCTTTAAGGTGCTACTGGACTTGAGTGTAGGGGCTCCACATTCCAAGTAATGCTCAGGCCTTTGTTCAACATCCTCGTTCAACATCAGCATCTTCTTAATAGTCTGCATGGTACTGAAGGTCTCTATCCCACACTCTCTAATATCTGCCCAAGGTGGCTGAGGAGGAGGAAGAGCTGGGAATGCGGGACCGCCCCGCCCCCATCAGGAGGGCTTATAGAATCCATTGGGTCCTGGCAGAAGTAGAACTGCTTGCTCATTCCCCCAGTGGGCCATGTGTCTGGGAGGTCCTCCAGGGGGATGGTGGCTGTTGGGCTACAGCTCTTCCTCCAGGGAGACTCAAGGCCCTCCCTGTCAGGAGGGAATCACAAACTAGGCCTCAGGCTGGGAACACGTCCACCCGAGACTTCCGTGGCACAGGAAAGATGGGGAAAGTTGGCTGTAACTGTTGTAACTGCGCAGGGCAGCTCACTCTAGGCCTTGTGTATCGTTTCAGGGTTAATGTGCTTGTGTTTGCTTTGAACTCAGCTGTGTCTTCATGACAGGTTTTCTTTAGTCTGTTCAGCATCTGCATCCATGCTGATGCTGGAAGCAGGCCCTGATTTGACTCTCGCCTGGAGGAAGGCCAAAGGGCATTTGGACATCTTTCTGAGGGCTTGGGGCAGGCGTGGTGGGCTAGTGCTCTGGACTATCTCCCGGGTGTGGGTCACGCAGCAGGCTGTTCTGTGACTGAGGCTACATAAATCATGAGCCACAGTCAGGCCTTATTGGCTCAGGGAACAAATCGAGTTGGAGTAAGTGGCTCTCAGCCTACTTGGTGAACAGTGGACACTGCTGCCTTTCTTTGGGGTGCACACAAATGCCTTTCAAAGGAACAGCAGTGGGGGGATGCTGCCTCTTGCCAGGGGTGATGTTGCCTTTGAGGCTGAGCTTTTCTACTTGTTCAGCCCCGTACCTTGACTCCTGATCAATGCTCCCTCTCTAAGCTGTCGAGTCTTGTGAGCAAAAATTCTACTTTGTGAGCTACTGGTATTAAAGTTGTGAGCGAGCGATTTGGCTACTGCATAAATTAGTTTGCTCTGGAGCCATCCTTCCTGAGCTAAGACAAAAACGTGTGAGCTGGAGGCTAAAAAACTGTGAGCTAGCTCACACTAACTCAGTTTAGAGGGAACACTGCCCCTGATGTCTTTAAAAGGAACTGTAATGTGGAGGTGCTGGACTGAGTTAATAGCTTAGTCAATAGTTTTCTTAATAGCTGTTAGCTTTTGTGTTATAATAGGGTTTCCTATTTATTAGCTGTCTTTGGTGTTCCTTTGAACAGGAGGGCGGTATATCTCTCCTTATATAATAATTCTGTTTTGGAGTGGCAAGATTCGATGCGCTTCCTAATCAATTGGCTCCCTCAGCTGCCACTCAGAAGGCACTGGCTGCGTTGGATGCCTGTGTTGCAGAGTCCCACCCACAGAAGCGGTGGCCAGCGTCTTGGGCTCATTGTGCTTGGAGCCAACGGATGGGACTCTCCGTGGGGATGGGGATGCCCGGGGCCTCCTCCCCTCCGGCTCACGCGCAGCATCGGGGGTGGGGAGGAGGGTCCTCACTTCGGTCCTCTCCCACGCCCCCCCATCCCTCATGCGCCCCATAAATGGAGTGAGGACCCAGCGAGCAGTGGCCGGTTCTCCCCTCAGGCCAATGCTGCTCTGGCCACTCACCTCTCCTCCCCGGCCGCTCGACCTGGCTCCGCCTCATGCGCCGGCTCCGTTGCCCGCCTCGCCCTGTTTAAAATGGCTGAGAGGCAAGGGGGGGGAGGATGGAAAAGCTGCACAGGCAGAGTCGGAATGGGGGGGGGAGACTGCCGAGGGGGAGGGGAGGGGCACCCACTGCGCCACCCAAACTGGAGCCAGCTCTGCCGCTTGATGCAAGCAGCGATCATGGGGAAGAAAGGGAGATGGGGGAAGAGGAGGGGGTGATGCAGCTGCTGCTGGGGGGGGCGTGGTGGTGGTGCTGAGGTGAGAGGATGGAGGGATGGAGCCGATCGGTCCCCGGGAGGATGGGGCCGCCCCGGCACAGAGACGAGATGACATGAGCAAGTGAGAGGCCGGGCGAGCAGGCGGATCAATGATGGGGGCTCCAGGGACCTCAATACAGACTTACTTTCAAGTATGCATGCATCGGATCAGGTGCAGGTTGCTAATTAAGATTCTAGTCTACTGATATTTCTGTACCATCACGGACATGAGAAATGACCTTCCAGAAAGATTTGGTGGCAGCCTGAGTCTGGGCAGAAAGTCATGCATTCCCAGTTGTAATGGTTTTAATGCATTTACTGTTTGGATGTATGCCGTTTGGGGGGGGTTGCATTTTTGTGTGTGTGCGTGTGGTGACCTCTGGCATCTCATACTGGGGCATGGTGATAGCAGTTCGCCGCACCCGTGATGGCGGCGCGAGTTTCAAGCCAATAAAGGAGCTCCTTGAAGCAACCACACATCTATGACTTCTGTCCAGCAGGCAGATAGTCCTATATGTTGCACTCAGTACAGGAGACTGACCATCCTGCCCAGAGCAAGGCCTGGCCTCCCGCCCGTGGCAGCGGTGGTCTGGCCATGGCGCTCGGGGGTGGTGGGGGTGGTATGGGCGGCTGCTGCAGGCCGGAACACTCTCCCAGGCCCTTTTCCTAGAGATCGTTGCATTTCTTTCTGCAACATGGCTTAATTACTAGTAAATAAATAAAGGCAACATGGTGGCTGAGGCATTAGGCACTGCCACATGGACTCCTGCATCTCAACGGAACCCTTCCGGGCTTGGAGCAAAGGAGACCTAAGCCAGGCTGACTTTCAGTCTTGTGTGCCCTGCTTGATTAGTATCTGAGGTGGTACCCAAAGTGGTTGCGAGGGTTTCCTGTGTTTGTTGGAGAATTAGCCAGGAAACCCAAACAATACAAGGGGGGTAATCAAGCAGGATCTCCACCTATGTTTACATGGATTTTCCCCTCAGTAGAACTCTCTAAATGAACCAGGCTGTGATTAATGATATGGCTTTTATTAAAGAGAATTAAAGAATAAAATCAAAACTTATTAATTGAAAAACAGTATATGAACACACATACAAGTTCAGAAAATAAAGGTGGTAGCTTACAGAGACAAAGAAGGGCACTTATTCTGTGGGACTATATTTACCTATCCAAGGAACGAAGATCCGAGAAGGAAGACGAGTGAAACAAACCAGTGTCTCACTCTAAGAAGGGTGCCCAACCTTTTCGGTGGGGGTGTAGGTTAGTGGACATCCAGATACACACGCACACATTACTGAACAATGCATTTCTGGTTATACCCCTTGGAGTATGACGTGAGTGCTCCTAGAACAATGCTGTGATGGTGTGAATGAAACAGTGTTGTTTGATCCAGGAAGCATCATAACTTTATTTATTTATTTATTTATTTATTTATTTATCATTTCAACTTTTACCCCGCCCTCCCCGCCGAGACAGGCTCAGGGCGGCTTACATAAAACTCAGTAAAACAATATGCATCACAATTTAAAATTCACAATAAAATATACAATAAACGTTCCCAGAAGTTGCAAGTGCAATGTAACATTATGTGAAATGTCTATTGTGTTTGGTGACCTCTGCTTTATCAGGACAAGACAACTATTACACAAAGGATCATGGAATTATAATGGTTTTTACTAGGTTTTTACTTAGGATGGTCAGGTGGGGAAAGGTCAGGCAAGGTAGGGAATTGGTTAAATCTACTGTCCTTTTCTGAGAAAATCAATCTTTGACATTGATAAATTTAAAGAGAAAAGAGAAGGGCCAAAACCCAGACCTTTGCACTTTTAGGATCAATTTTCAGACACGCCTCTGGTCAATATTCGATGGCACACATTCCATATGGCTGTAGGATCTATTTTGATCTCTTATTTGCAGACCAGGGATGAGTCTTGAATGACTGGCTCCGTGAGATGCCAAGAGAGGGAAGGTTGCTTGCGTCACCTGTGTAGAGGTACCAGGCATGTCCTTCCAGGTGAGGAGGGGGTCGAGGCTGAACAGAGGGCAGCCATGTTGGTGTGTAGCTGAGCGGCTGGGTCCAAGCCCAGGAGGAGGAGGGGCTCCCCCCCCATTCGAGGCCCGTGAGGTTTCCGGGGCCTCGGCCTTTGAGGGCTTTCCTTTTTGTCTGGTGAAGGGAGCTTTGGCTCTCACAAACTTGGGACTCCCAAAATCTTGGTACTGTGGGAAGTTGACTCCGGCTATCCTGCTTTATTAGTAGTAGATACAAGAATACTGCAATGGTGCAACTAATACAAAATACTGTATGACCAATAACAGAATAATCATTCCATAATATTTAATCTTTTTCTTTTTTCAATGTAGACGCCGCGAGATGAACATGCAAGACGTCATGAAGAAGTGAAGGACGAACTTCCCCGGAGTAACTGTTTCGTTTCGATATTTCTTTTTCATACACACATCAGTTCTGCTTCAGCATACTCATACAACGTCCCAAAAGGACCTCTCTGATGTGTGTATGAAAAAGAAATATCGAAACGAAACAGTTACTCCGGGGAAGTTCGTCCTTCACTTCTTCATGACGTCTTGCATGTTCATCTCGCGGCGTCTACATTGAAAAAAGAAAAAGATTAAATATTATGGAATGATTATTCTGTTATTGGTCATACAGTATTTTGTATTAGTTGCACCATTGCAGTATACTTGTATGTAGCACGATTGTCATACTGCTACCCCCCTTGTTTGTTTATTATTAGTAGTAGAAGCAGAAAAATCTGCATGATGTTCTTCTAATACATTTTAAATTAACCAGTGGGAGGAGTGTGTGCCCTGGGACCTGCTAACATACAAGAGACCACAAATAAATACATAAATAGCTGGAATAGATTAAGCTGCTCTTCCCTCTTTCCCCCCTGCCTAGCTGGGTCAGATCAAGTTCCTGGTAAGGGCAGCATTGTTTTCAGGCGTTTTTTTTAGGAAAGAGGTGGCGCAGCAGAAATTAGGTGGTCTAACAGTCCCCCTCCCCCTGGCCTGCATCTTGGATGACTGGCTGGAGACATCTTTCTGCCCCTTAGGCCTCTTGATCTGGGCTGCCCATCTGCCTGGAAGGAGAAAGTAAAATTTGTATTTACTCTTCAGGAGTAGTCGGGCAGTCCTAGTCAGTCAGCCTCAATGGCAGCCTGATGCATTCTCCTGCGGTCCAGAGGGCTCAGGTGAGTTCAGGCTGTTAGCAATGCTCCCTCTAAGCTGTGGAGTCTTGTGAGCAAAAACTCTACTTTGTGAGCTCCTGGCATTAAAGTTGTGAGCAAGCGATTTCAGTGCTGCATCAATTAGTTTGCTCTGGAGCCATCCCTCCTGAGCGAAGACAAAAATGTGAGCCAGAGGCTAAAACAACCTGTGAGCTAGCTCGCACTAACTCAGCTTAGAGGGAACACTGGCCGTTGGGCCTCTGGGGCTTTCTCTCTTCACTCTTCAGTTGTGCCTCACTGTTTTCCTTCCCCTGTGGCTTCTCAAAGTAGATTCTGGATGGGAAGGTAGACCTCTGCTGTAGTGGCATCCAAAATCTAAGCGGGAGCACCATGTAGGAGCTGGGTCCAGGTGAATGGACCCTGCCTCGCCTCCTGGTGGAATATGACCCAGACTGCCTTGTTCCTCTTGAGGAGAATAAAAATTCCTGGTTAAATGTGCATTTTCCTTTCTCCGTGATAAATTATGTGGCTTTAATGCTTTCAAGTCAAATGTCTGAAACACACCCTGCTTTTCTCAGCGTAAGAACTCTTGGAAGCAGCTTCCACTTTGTGACGAGAGTCACATTTTCCCCAGTCAGGAATACTGTGGAGGTGAAGGGAGGGGGGCAAACTTGCTTCTTTTCCAACAGCTAGTTAGGGATGGTACTTCAAAATGCAGTCGGTGCTTCTTAGTTATATTCGAGGAGGTGCCCGGGAGCCAGGATGGCAGCCATGCGCGGCTGGGCTGCTTCTCTGGGACTGGCTGCTCCATCCCCCTTGGCCAGGGCCAGACATAAAGGCCTCTGCAGGTGTCGCAAAGCAGTACTTTCCCCTCCAGCTGCAGCTCACAGAGACCCCACCCTGAAAGTTTATTCCTGGGCTCAGCAGACCCTCCAGAACATTCACAGGAGGCACAGTGGGCATCTGCAGGAGGGAAGGAGACTCAGCAAGACTCTGCCGAGGACCTGGAAACTGAGGGCCCTCCTAGGTACTGAACCGCATCTCCCAGCATCCTCCCCTGGGCCGTTTGCACTCTAAGACCACCTCCTCCTTTCGGTGCCTTCCCTCAGGACTTCCCGCAGGGCCTCAGCGAGATCATTGGCCGTTTCCGTGGTGGGCCCGGTCCTTGAGGACAGCCCGCTGGAGTGAGTGAGGAGGGTCCCTTTCCTTGCGATGTTTAGGAAGGCACAGAAGGCAGACCCCCTCCATTTGGCAAAGGGTGAATTTTCCCAGCAGATTCGGCTGGGAGTGTGCTGATCTGTCTGTTGTGCTGCTTCTTCCTTTAAAATCTAAATGCTTTTGAATTGGTAAAAGATGTATTTGAATCAGACTTTGTTTTGTTAATTGGATTAATATTCATGTATTTGAAATTTGGTAGCTACACTGGTTGCTGCCTCGAGTCCAAGTTGATAATGCAGGAAAGAAATGTTTAAAGAAAATGGAGCAGCCTGCCTGGGTGGAGGGCCTTTTAGCATTACACTTTGTATTCATAGTTCCCTCGTAAATGCTCTAGAGTGGAGTATTTTAACCGCCCTGGTTCCTACTGGGAACTTGAGTTCCCATGGATATCTTCATCTTGTTGGATGCAGAATACCTTTGAATAGGGAACACTGTGGGCTGTAGAGCTTTTTAGGTTTTGGAATTAATGAGTGTTTTTCTAACTTGTTGAAAGAATTTCTGATGCTAAATGATATGTGAAGAAAGTGAAGAATTATTTAAGAGAGATTTTAACAAGAGAACTATGTATTAATATTGTTTCAAATCTTTAAAAAGATTATTTTAAAATAATTAATTTAAAATAATTTTAAAAGATTAAATAATGATCAAGAATGAGAAACTGAGGGCCAGAAAGGCAGCCTACGAGAAAAGTCAAGGAAAGTCGATTTCGAGATGAGCACCGAGCTGAAGAATCTCCTTTTGCCTTGCCAGGATCCTCTCGCTTTTGTTACTTTCTCCGTATCTTTGGGGTGGACTGTAAATTCTTTAAAAAGGACTTTTGTCCTGAGTTCTCCATAGTATTTATTATTCAGATTGAATTTTAAAAGATTACACTCCGTTTCTGTATATAAAGTCTGTAAACCAGCCTTTCCAGTCCCCCTGCAAAGGAAGATTGTCTTTTGTGTCCAATATTTGGCAGGTGTCAGGTGAATGCCGGGGCAAGTATCTTCAGAATTGGGTCCCGGGAGGGGTGGCGGCCCCTCTGCACAAACAGAGGAAGAGACTGCTTCCGTAACAAGGCCCATTCTGCCTTGTATAAAACGTTGGTGTCTGACTGGGCTTTTTGGCTTTCATGCTGTCCTCACTCTGACCAGTGGGCTGCTAAGTGTCCTCCTGGGCCAAGAAGAAAGGTGGCGGGAGGAGCATGGATGGGCGTGGGACTGGGCTAGGCAGGTAGGAGGGGCTGGGGCTCGGTGGGTGGGGTGGGCAGAACTGCTGGGGGGGGAGTGGGAGGGCAGCAGCCCCCACGGGAAGGTGGGGGACAGTGTTTCTAGTTCCCTTAAAAAGAACTCATAGCTTACACCAACTTCTGACCTCTACTGATTCCTCTCTGTTTTGAAAGGTGTTCTGCTTATGCTTAAAATGTATTTTGTTCTCAAGGCCAGTCATAGGCCCTGCTTTACCACCAGGCTTCAAGAAACAGTCAGAAGAGGACGAAGAAGACAGAAGCTCCACCAGGTCTTCTCTGCCATCTCTGTCCTCATCCCAGGTGTGTAGAGCGTAGTGTAAGTCAAGCACAGTCAACAGGATGGGTCGTCCAGTGGGCAATACAAACATCTGAAAACAAACAGAAACCTCAAACAGTGCCGAAACAAAGCATGATGTGTTAAGTAGTATACAGCTGCCTAGTCTGGTGCAGACTCACAAAGACAGGCAGCAGTCCAGTACTGTCGGCCACAGTCCTTACCCCTTGACCAGTGCAACTTCCTGACATTACAGTCCAGTCCTGTTTCCCTGTGCAAAAAGCCCTCCGGAATAATTCTGTTTCTTGTAGTTTTCAGAAAGCCAGGAGGGTGGGAGCCTTCCTAACCTCAGGGTGGCCACCCCAGGAGGTGGGGGCGGCAACAGAGGATGAGCCCGCTGTTGTTCGTGGAGCATGCTTGCCCGACACATAGGCAAGGCTTAACTTCCCATGATAAGTGGCTGCTCATACAGAGTTTAAGGGACAAACGGAAAGATAAAGTGATGGGTTTCGGTGGAGGAGCCGAACGGACAATTTGCATGCCTTCAGAGGCCCCCAGGGTGCTGCATGCCTTGTGTTCCTAAACCTAAAGCCCGGAGGCAAATTAGAATAAGCAGCAAATGTCTGTCTGATGTGTCCATGTTGATGCCTTCGTGTTACACAGAAAACCCCACAGTGCGATTGTCGAGGTGAAGCTGCCCTTGCAAGCGATTGTGTGGTGGAGCAGTTGGCTACAGAGCCGACCAGAAGGGGAGGGACTCTGGACTTGGGTCTGAGTGAGGCTCTGGACCTGGTGTAAGAAGCAGACGTTGTTGCCCCAATTGGGAACAGTAATCACCGTTCTATTAAGTGCTTATGCCGTTCAAGTGACATCATGTCAGTGGAAAGTTGAGCCCAAAGTCCAAGCGAAGCACATTTGATTTCAAAAGAAGGAGTTTTACAGAAGTGAAAGAGGGAGTCAGGTGGCCTGGAGAGCCTGAAGCAGACTGTGCCGCTCGATGACCTCCTCCTCCTTCAGTCAACCTCTGCAGGCCCAGGCTGGCGGGGGGGGGGTTCCCCACGGGACGCTTGGCTCTCACGTTCTTTCACAGCACGTTTCTGTTCTTGACAAAACAAAGTTTGAGTCCTGTGGCACTTTTAAGACCGACAGAGCTTACGCCTGGAGTAAAACTTTGTTGGTCTTGAAGGTGTCACTAGACTCAGACTTTGTTTTGCTGCTTCACACCCACATGGCGGCCCCACCTGAGTCTGTTCTTGACAGTTGTGGACAAGAGGCTGGGTCTTCTGCACTGTCCGGGGTGCAGACCCTGCAGGCTTTTCACTTCTGCCCATTTCCCTGTGGCCGGCTTTCCTGCCTCTGGACTCCCACCGCTTTCCACTTAAATTGTGTCTCTCCTCCTGCTAGTGTAACATTTATTAGCAAAAGATTTGGTAAAAATTCAAAGCCTGTTTTGGGTTCAGACTGCACATTGAGCAATTACTTATCTTGTTGTTGTTGTTCAGTCGCACAGTCGAGTCTGACTCTTTGCGACCCCATGGACCAGATCACGCATGGCCTTCCTGTCTTCCGCTGTCCTCTGAAGTTTGCTCAATTTCATGTTCGTTGCATCCATGACCAGTGTTCCCTCTAAGCTGAGTTAGTGTGAGCTAGCTCACAATTTTTTAGCCTCCGGCTCACACATTTTTGTCCTAGCTCAGGAAGGGATGGCTCCAGAGCAAACTAATGTATGCAGTAGCCAAATCGCTCGCTCACAACTCTAATGCCAGTAGCTCACAAAGTAGAATTTTTGCTCACAAGACTCCACAGCTTAGAGGGAACATTGTCCATGACACTGTCTAACCATCTCATCCTTTGCCGTCCCCGTCTTCTTTGACCTTCAATCTTTCCCAGAATCAAAGTCTTCTCCAGTGAGTGCTCCCTTCTCATTGGGTGGCCAAAGTATTTGAGCTTCAGTTTCATTATCTGGCCTTCCAGGGAACAGTCAGGGTTGATTTCCTTTAGGATTGACTGATTTGATCTCCTTGCAGTCCAAGGGATTCTCAAGAGTCTTCTCCAGCACCATAGTTCAAAAGAATCTACCCTTCGTCGCTCGTTATGGTCCAACTCTTGCAGCCATACATTACTCCTGGGAATACCATTGCTTTGACTATGCAGACTTTTTTTGGCAATGTAATGTCTCTACTTTTTATTATGCTGTCTAGGTTTGCCATAACTTTCCTCCCAAGGAACAGGCATCTTTTAATTTCATGGCTGCAGTTACCGTCTGCAGTGATCTTGGATCCCAGGAACATGAATTTTGTCACTGCTTCCATGATTTTCTCTTCTATTTGCCAAGGAGTGATGGGGCAGGATGCCATGATCTTAGGGGTTTTTGTTGTTGAGCTTCAAGCCCACTTTTGCGCTCTCCTCTTTTACCCTGAGCAAGAGGCTCTTAAGGTCCTCTTCACTTTCTGCCATTAGAGTGGTATCGTCTGCATAACTGAGGTTGTTGATCTTTCCCCCAGCAATCTTAATTCCCGCTTGTGATTCATCCAGGCCAGCATTTTGCATGATGTACTCTTCATGTATATTAAATAAGCAAGGTGACAATATACATCCTTGTCGTACTCCTTTTCCTATGCTAAACCAATCAGTTGTTCCATATCCGGTTCTAACTGTCGCTTCTTGA